CATTTATAATTTCCCAAGTCTTTTTTGAGTTCATGCTGTACTTTTCGAATTTTTGAGTATAGCACATAGCCTTTGCCATCTTTATTGAGCTCTTGAGAAACTTGTCGAATTCCTTGTAGTAGATGTGCTTGTTTGGATCCCCATCAGGTAGTTTTAATGTACAAGTCTTCTTCCATTCGAAATACAACCTAGCTTTCTTGTCGATGGAGTTAATGAGGCCCTGGGTGATCCAAGGGTTGGTTATGCTGTTACGTTTAGTGGTTCTAGGAGTTAGAAGTTTGCAAGACAAATCTATCTTTTCTTGAAATAACTGCACGAAAGAGTCAAATGTGTTACAGCTGTGGTGGAACCTATCTATATCGTTTTCTATTTCAAGACAGAGCTTCTCTAAGTTAGCATTACTATAGTCGTAGTGTATAGTAATTTTGTCTGATGAATCAGGTGTTGGCACAGAGTCAGGGGAAAGTTCAATAAGAGTGAATATAGGGTGATGGTGGGAGATCTTGTCAGATATCACACCAGAAATAAGGGATTGATCTACGACATTGGTATGGATATTGTCAATACAGGTCCTGGAACAGCCAGGCATTTGGTGAGTTGGTACTAGCCGGTTAGTAGCCACTTGGTGGTTACTAGCCGGTTAGTAGCCGGTTAGTAGCCGGCTAGTGACCGCTTTCTAAGTGCCGGCTAGTAGCCGGTTTGGAACCGGCTACTAGTAGGTCTGCTTTAGAGCTCGGCTAATAGCCGGCTAGTGACCGCTTAGTAGCCGGTTAGTAGCCACTTTGTGGTCACTAGCCGGCTAGTAGCCGGTTAGTAGCCGGCTAGTGACCACTTTTCAAGTGCCGGTTAGTAGCCGGTTGGTAATGTGAAGTTGAGGAGCTGTTATTACAAAAGTGGCTAGTAGCCGGCTAGTAGCCGGTGTTCATATGGTACTGTGCAGGGACGTTGCATAGACGTTGCATAGACGTTGCATAGACTGACCATGCAGGGAGTGTGCATAGAGTGTTCATTGTGCAGGGACGTTGCATAGACGTTGCATAGACGGTTCTTTTGTTGTTGCATGGACGTTGCATAGACGTTGCATAGACTGTCCGGAGCTAAACGACCAAGTTGCCATCTTTAAATAATCACCATAAATTAACCACACGTAAAGTTACAGGCCAATCAATGATATATCCACCATTATTAGCCCGGATTTAAATGCGTGTATCTCTGCTCATAGACATAGTAGACATTTTGTTCTTTTTGTAAAAGTTGAACTATCGCAAATCTGTAGCTGAAAAAAGTTTAATCAAAATATTGAGTATATCCACCAAATGAGAGCTTCTAGAAGTTGAAATTTTTCCCGTGACAGATTCGTTAACATAGTTTTTGAAAGTGTCCTTTTATTAACTTTTGTTTTATTATTGAGTTTTTGAAGGGTTGTTTTTATATAGGGTCATTGTGACGTTATGTGTATATTGTAGTTATGTCCATTTGAAGGTTAAGACTGGAAAAAAACTGAAGATTTTTCTGGCGTATCTTAAAGCACCTATATTCTCAATTTATCTTTTCTACTTTGAGAGGGTGCCACAAGGGGGGGTGTTGTGGGGGAGGGGGCGCCAATATGCAACGTTATGCCACTCATGTTACAGCATAATTCTTTGTACAGTAAAACCACTCTATACTGGGTCTCAGCGAAATAAGTGTATAGAAGAAAAAAAAACGTGGTATAGAGGTTCACCGGTATCTACATCCCCTAAAATTACCTGTCAAGCATCTCATTTATTCCATTAGGAGCCTTATATGCACGTATTTTGTCATCTAGTGATGGAATACAGCTCGATATGTACTCAAATCACCACCAAATGCGATATAGGCTATCATAATTTACATTTTTTGCACAAAACAAGCTCATTAAGTTTGGGGAAGAACCTCTGTTACAAAATGTCACTTAATTATTTTCAAGCATACATTTAATCTGATATTTTACTGTGCCTTACTGTTGTTTAGGTTGCTTATATTTACTTAATTTTAGACTAAATTTCATCGATAAGATCACATAGATATTCCCAAAACAATCGAATGAAAAAAGTAGATGAAAGATATTTTAATATTGTATTTGAATTACTTTACTGTGTGTGGTACCTTTAATTCTACATGTGACGTATACCTGGGTATGAAGTATTAGTACACAATAGTTTTTATTGATCTTTCACAGATCCAAATTTCAAAAATAGAGACTATTGTATCGTTTATTTTTCTTCTTGTTTGAATATTATCCTGATTATTATCCTAAATATTATCCTGATTCTAGAGTAGAATTGGTCCAAGAATAAAAATAGCCTGATTTGAATGCATACATTTTATGCTGAAAACACCAAAATCATAGACAATTCGATATCTACTTTTTTGTTACTTTTGAACCTTGAGTAAATGTTGTATTTGTTTGTTTGCAAATTCTCTCCTTTGTCAATATGTGCCACCCCTTCCCTGATATTAGAACTTTATAATTTTAATGTTTAATTCGTCATGCTTAATGCTTATCAGTGTTATTTATTTGATAATGTTACTACAATTGAGGACACAGAATGTTCTAAAGTCAGTACCGTAATATGAAAATTATGAAATTTGACACTAAATTTTTGATGAAAAAAATAATTTTAATGATGTTATAGTTATTGAATTTAACTTTAAATCAAAAAATCCAGCAAATAATAGTTTTTTTCAGCAGGCCTAAGAATTCAGTCATGTGAGTTCAGAGTAAAAATTAACATTCTGACACTTTTCAAGCTGGAGATGGAGGAGCATTGCATAAGTTTATTGTCTATAAAAGATAAACAAAATTGTCAAGATGTTGGTCACGGTATTTAAAAGGTGACTCTATGTGATATGTATTTGGATTAAAAATGATTGAATAAATAATAAATATCTAAAATAAAGATTTCTAATCTCAACGAAACAAAACGACTTCCGACTTCCAAAAAGTCGTCAAATGTAGTTCTTGCTACTGTAAAGCATCTGCTAAGCTAGTCTTTAATTCTATTCACAGACATCACAATTATGTAAAATTATTATTGACTACTAGTTATAACAACAACCAGCCATGTTAATTCTAATCATCAAGTAAATTAATTTTCTTTCCTCATGATTTCATATATAATTACAATTTGAAGGATGGATGTTGATCAAGCTACCGTAGTCATTGTTAACAAAGAGTGATATTTTAAAAATGGAATCATGTATCACTTTCGCCTTGTCTGCTATCGCCTTGTTTGCTCAGAGAGTTTCCTCGGATGACTGTGATCCTGGTTAAATCATTTCTCGCCAAGATTACTGTATGCTGATTGTACAAAGTAGATTTATTGTTAACCACTGTATTGTTACTTTTACCTGTCATGTTTTCCCGGAATTTCTTTATGAAAAATAGTTTTAAGCCAGTGCTTCTAACTACTGTTATGGCTGGATTTAGCACTGATAAAACAAGCGAGCAGAATAGTCCATTTGCGTAGAAAAAGTAGTAGGAATGGTAGGGAAAATTGCTCAGGGTTGCAATTGAGTAGATGAACTGGATTATTACTAAGATAACAGCTGCTTGAATTCCACCGGAAAGCATAAGAATTGTTACATAACCCTTGTTTTGTCTCTTTTTGTCCTTGTTTTGATGTTTCACAACTTTCATCAGCTCCATTGACCTGTACACCTCTTTCCCTGTAATCACCGCACAGATGCAGCCTGCTACAGCTATCGACATCAGAACTCCCCCAAATGCCAGCTCTGGCCAGTTGTCAATTATGCCAGTTCCTTTTTTGAATACAACGAGTTTTAGGCGATTGGTGCTGTACAGGAACCGATCCCACGTGGAGTTGTAGTAGAAATTAGCGCCACATATTACCAAAGACAGGACTGTCAGTATAACCATTGGGTAAACAATCGCATGTCTCTTTCGCATTACATGCAAGGGATATTTGATAGCGTATACCCTAGTTCCAGTCATGACAGTTGTAATTCCTACGCTCAAGAAGAGGATAACAGCAAAAAATAATGAGTAAAGTCTTTGTCCTAATGATGCCGGAACTTGGGTATGTATGAGCGCAGGACTGAGAAGTCCCCAGATAAGATAGGGACATAGACAGGTTGTTGTAAGAAAGTCCGAGACGTTGAGAATCCTGAAGAGAATGGAAGGGATTGAGATTGGGAGCGAACTGTGGAACCAGAAGAGAGCTGGGTTGAGAACTCCAGAGATAACGAAAGCTGCTATCACCAGGAAGGCGTAGAGACTGTTCACCCAGAAATCGAAGCGGGGGTCGCACATGCATTCTTCGTTTGTTATGTTGCAAAATTGACCCGTGGCAGCTGCATATGTGTAGTTGCAACCGAATATCATCACTGAGATACCTATAGGATATGTTGATTAATCGTTGGATATCTAATGACGATACCACAAACATATATTTGTTTCACTACATATTTGAAAATTATTTCATTCAAACTTCGAGAAATGAACAAACTTCAAGTTTCATGGAGCTGCAATTTTGGAATGTTATATCAATCCTCAGTGCTCTTATTAATAAACTTCAAGTTTCATGGAGCTGCAATTTTGGAATGTTATATCAATCCTCAGAGCTTAATTAATAAAATTGTTAATATCTCCGACTGATAAATACGTTCAAGGACATGATAAAGGAACTCATTTTAATATCGTTAATTGAACGGTTAATTGATGTGGATTTGTGCCAATCTATAAATTAACCATACACTCAAATGACTTCATTCATGAGCATGTATTTATTTAAATGAATTTCATTCAAACGAGTTAAAATTGATATGATATAACAATTTGTCGTAAGGAATAGGACTAACAGCAACTGTTTCCCTTTTTCCAAAACATTTGATTACAATTAAGAATAATTAAAATGCATTGTTTGCGTTGAACGACCTCATTCTTAACTTTAAAACGTCTAAAAAGCCACAAAAGGGTTTTATATAATAATAAACTTATCATCCAACTGCACAGACAGGAGCTATGTCATCCAACGGAGGAAAGATCGGTGACTTCCCGACAGATGCTATGACCCTGAACAGGTAACTAATGGTTGGGCAACTCATGTGGCAGGTGGCTTACTGAATCAAAAGTAGTAACTAATGATGTAGAAACAGCAAAGTGGCACTGAAATTGAAATTTGGAAATTTGGGTCATGATTAGTACAGACCACACCTAAACAACAGAAAGCCACTGATATTTAAATTTAGAAAATTAGGTCATGATTACAGACCACATCTGAACAAGAGAGAGACACTGATATTGAAATTTGGAAAAGTAGATCATGATTATTGATTACAAGCGCATCTGGTCCGAATGAAGCCATCATTAATTGCGTTATAGAGCCGGTGTTCATTAGGTTAATTGCCTAAATCTGTACCACATGCTCAACAATTGCCAACAGTTTATCTTACAAGCCGGAAGTTTTTGATCATATCTTATTAAATTAGATATAGAAATAGATATATTATATATAATACGTGTGTACGTCTTAAATTTAAGCAAAACAGTCACACAAGTAACTAATCAAAAACATCTGATGTTGTATGAGGGCCAAGAGCATTACTCAGTCATATTATTAATTACTAGTCATTATAAAGTCATTACAACCAGGATGCTAAAAATCTTGAGAAGACTTGACAGTCAGGTGCAAAATTGTTGCTGTTTACACCATAGCTGCAATATAAAAGAAAAGCTTTTCACTAGAATAACATCAAACATTATTTGGTATCAAGTTGACCGAAATAAACTATTACAACTTCAAATTGTGTAATCCAACAAAACCTGAAAATCAGGTACGATGACAACTACGCATTAAATAATAAAGATATTAATCGCTCATCTGAAGTGTACAAGTCTATTATAGTGTATAGAAAGATGGTGGGTAATGTGCCACGTTGGCAAAGTTCTGTCATTTATGAAGGGGAACGTTCAACATATAATTAGAAGTACCTGAAAATTGCTCCTAGACTCCGAGCTGGAAGTTATGTACAGTATGATGTCATGCTGCTCGCTTCTAAATTCGCCCACGTGACCTACAATCGCCCACGTGACCTACAAATGCTCATTATACTATAGACAGTCAGTGAGTCTGGAATAACAACCTCCTCTCTTATCAATTAGAAAGCTTTTCTGTAGAAAGAGTCAGCCAGGCTGGCAGAATATTTGGGCAGGGTAAAGGAAAGAAAACACAGCTTTCAATGCTCCGCTCATAATTACGACAAAGATATTATCTAAATTAACTAATTAATACTAAACAAAATGTTGCTAATGTAAGCGCGGCTCCAATATAAAGGTCTCTATTTTCTCTCCTTAAAAAAACAAAAGGTTAATACAAATAAACATGTAAATTATTTACCACTGCAACGGGCCTCGCAAAGGCGAAAGCACAATCAATACTTCAAAACTTCCTATACTTCAGTAGCATACTAATACGCCGTGTTTTGGTCTAGCCAATTTTACTAATGTTTTACATTTTCTCACTCCAGCTGCAGTCGCCGTCTGGTAGTGTTGAGTTTCATTGATATTTCCTTAACCTCCATAAATCATGTTCTTCCCTCATCGTAGATGTTTTGTAAATGTAATTATAACACATAGAAGTAAAATTCATTTGAATTTTAAAAGAAAACACGGCACCACTTGGTACCACTCGGCACCACTCGGCACTACACGGCACTACACGGCACTACACGGCACTACACGGCACTACACGGCACTACACGGCACCAATAAACTCCCTCTCCCCAGGTTTGTGATGGAGGAGCAGATGAAGCACCCGGGCGCATCAGGATCCCTCTCCCTGCTCCTGAGCGCACTCTGCACTGCTTGCAAGGCTACTGAGGCTGCGGTGCGTAAAGCTGGTAAGTGACAAGGTCTGACTAGGTGCTAGCTGGACGCCACGTACTGCAGTATAACCAGATGGAGTCATCAAGCTACAACAATAACAACACGTACTGCAATAACGCATCTCTTATTCGATTACGTGACGCGTTACGTGCCATCTAGCCGGGGTTTTAGCTATCTTTGTAGACGAAGTTTTTATCAAAATTAATTAATTAATTAAAAGTTCGAGGTGTTAGTTACGAGGACTCATACAATGGAGAGATAGGTGTCAAAGAATAACAAGAAAGAAAAATAGAAACTATGAAAACATTTCATACGCTAAAAGTAAAAATGTTGGAAAACTTAGCGAAGAAAATTACATTAGCCAGTAATGACCTTTAGCGTCAGCTGTCAGAGTGGTTATTGTGGTGAGCGGTTCGTTCAACAAGAAACAATTCTGTCAAAAAAATTGCATTTGACTAACAATAATTAGAAAATAATTTAGCGTATGTTTCGGAATTCGGGGTCCCGAAAAAGAAAATGTTCTCTGATTGCACAGTTACATATTTTAAAGTAAAACTGAACATTCTATATTGTAACATTGTAACAAATTTCAACTGGCAGGCTGGTAGGCAGCAGTTCACTTGTTCCCGCAATACCCAACAAACTGGGAGTGAGGTATATATTCACTGTTTATGGATTCTAAGTACATACTTCATCAACTTTCCCTTGTCAGTAAACTGACACGTGTCTCACCCTACTCTGAGAGGTATGTGGGACCGGAACTGGCACGAGGCGCTATCAACACTGGAACTGGCATGAGGCGCTATCAACACTGGAACTGGCATGAGGCGCTATCAACACTGGAACTGGCATGAGGCGCTATCAACACTGGACGGCACTGTTTACCATAATTGATTTTAATTTCCCCCGCGACATGTCCGTTCAACGTCGTCGAACGATTGCATTGGCTACTTTCCAGTCGGCAGATATTTAGTAAAAAGTTGAAGGGAAACCTGGACTCAAGTCTACCTACTCCTTAGTCTTTACACAGCAGTCAGCAACTGCTCTAAATTACTGTTTATACTTCCGAATTGCAACTTTATCTCGGATAATCCCAAATGACTGAGACTAGACGTGGTAGGGTTGTCAGGACTCTCCGACGGGAGAGGCTTGGGGTGCAAATACTGGGTTACTGAGCTAATCTATTTAAGGCACTAAAACTTGAAGGGTGGGTGGCTGTCGACCGTTCGATTGTTCTCCTAATTCATTGCAGTATTTAAAATAACCGAATTGGCCATTATATCAGGCAACGAATTTTATTGCCCAGTGACAGATTTGAATTGCCCGATAAGTAACTTGACAGTAAGAAGCCATTCTATTTGAGAAATTAATTATATTATTTTACTCGAAATCAATATTTCGAAGGACGTCTCTCCTTATTTGAATTATGTCTTGCCGCAAATAGTTCTGACGACAAGCTCAACAACTCTTAGAAATTCCAGGGGCATCATCACCCATTTATAAGTTTATTCCAATAATTCGGCAAATTATCACTTATCATCCCAAACGAATCTAGTGAAAATAACTATGAAAATTGAAACATTTATCAAGGGCAAAACGAAATGTAATGAAAACTTTGAATATTCAAAACAATGAATACCACACAATTTTAGAACGCTATGAAATTCAAAAGATAATATTCAAAAATGTTCAAAACCACATGCAATATACGTAAAACGTAATGAGTAAGTATCTAGAACAACTGAAAACCAAGGGCCCGTTCAGTGTTCACATATTATGACATCAGCTATATTGAACAATAAACTTTGCTGTTTGTCTACGTAGGAAGTCTTAACAGTTAGTATAAAAGAAAGATGAATAGAAGGTGCCACTGGTGAATAGAAGGTGCCACTGGTGAATAGAAGGTGCCACTGGAAGTTAAACAAAAGGCACAATGAGTACAAGTGCCGCTGTAAAAGTGCACTATAAACTATAAGAGTATAAGTGCAGTTCAAAAGTCACGTGTTAGTAAAGTTTTAGGAGTATTAATTTCCTTTAGGGATAGGTGCAGGTGCTATTACAAAAGAATATTAGAAGTTATGAGCTACACTAATTCGTACGGAAAGGCTGTGAACAATACAATGACATTTTGGAAGGACTAGTGGAGCTAAATGATGAATAACCTTCGCACTGATTATTATATATTTCTGGCCTATCTGAAAGAACTTTAGATAAGTTTAGTGTTCATACAAGCACGTAGATAATAGATATTATATACTAGGCTTAAAGTAGAGGTGTGACTAAAGTGCTATGAGAACAAGGCACGTTTTAAGTCTAGGGAGCTCTGAAAAACAGATTGTGAGCTTAGTCAAGCCGAAAGGGCCACGATTCAACATTATTTAGAAATATTATACTAATGGACGATTGAGGATTAATTTTATGGAACCTTGACCTCGCTTATGAATTTCTTGATTTATGAAACAACTTAAGATAACTTTTGGTTAAATAACTTGGATATATTGTCGTTAGCATGGAGGCGTGCGATATCGTCACCTACCTATATATAAATAAAAAAGGCATGTTACACAGCGTGAACTTTTAACACGTCTATCAAAGAAATCTTTGATGAGTTGAAGCCGATTTGCATTTTGCAAAGGAACATTTTATCAATTATAGATTAAAGGAAAGGTTGACAAATGAAAATTTTACAGCGTAAGAAATGTTTTAACAGAATTGATAGGATATTTATCTTGTTAAGTTAGCCAATAGCCAGGCTTGCTAGGGGAATTCTATTTTAAGATTACGTATTATATAAAGAATTAGCTAGAGCAGTATTATATAAAGCTGAAAGATTAGCTAGCGCAGCGTCATCAAGGGGAAACTATTATATGATATGAGGAATATTCTGTAGAGATTCAGCTAATTATTTAACATTTAGTCTACCAAATCTGAAGTTTTGTGCCGACTAAAATTATAGTTCAGCCTGTAGAAACTTATTGATTCGAGAAATGAGTAACAAGTCTGAGTAATAAGTCTGACTCTGGTATGTAGCCAAACGCAAATAGAGGTTCCTTAATCCTTACCGGAGCCATTCCCTGATACTCTGATACTATTAGCTTGTGACATGCCGTCTCATTATAAAGAGTATTATATATAACTATACTAGAAATCCCGTTATTGCAGGGAGGAAGGTAATAGTATTCTTTGGTAGTCAGTTTTTATCGCAAAAAATATTCGTCACAACCGAAGATACAGCCGATCGAAATGTTGCTCGCACTGAACACAACATAATTACCACAAAACCGATCAAAATGTCGCTCGCAAATCTTTGCACGTGCACGTGCGCTTTTGAACGCCGTTACAATGGTAACTATGCAACTTCCTATTTCTCATCTAATTTGCACGTGGGTGGTCGTACATACAGACAGACAGACAGAAATAATGTCTATTATAATATAGACAAGAAACCCAATGCGAGTGAATGGCCGTTTGTTTCTGGCGCTTCTCTGTCATGGGCTACAACCCACCTTAGGATAAGCAGATGATCTTGAAAGCGCGCTTATAGCAAACAGTATAATTTAATCGAAATGCACACCAAGGGTAAATAATTTGCTGAATAGTTGAGCATGCAAAAAACAGTTTCTTAGAACAATTCTCTACCGTTTAAAAGTAATTTTGAATTAAGACCACAGCATAAGCCCAATGCTTTGAGCAGAAGTTTTTTTGAGGCTGTTATTATACAATATTCTGTATTTTTAAATAGTAATTACCGAGACTTTTACGACTAATGAAATATAATATATATATTATTATATATATCCATAGACACAGTGTTTCGTCCTATTAGGACTCATCAGTATGGCTCAAATCACCAGGGTTGGTTTTTTTGCTGATGGCGGGTATCGATCCGGCAACCTTACGATTACTGGCTCGAAACCACGCCACTGAGCTACCAAGCCCCTAATGATGAGGGAATTACATAGGTACCAGAGTGCTCTACAAACTCATTACGAGTTAGGAGCTTTGCATTTAAGCTGAGCGGTAGATCTATTCATTCCCTAGAGTGCTCAAGCTTAGTAAACTAGGCGAGCATATTTATCCATAGACACAGTGTTTCGTCCTATTAGGACTCATCAGTATGGCTCAAATCACCAGGGTTGGTTTTGCTGATGGCGGGTATCGATCCGGCAACCTTACGATTACTGGCTCGAAACCACGCCACTGAGCTACCAAGCCCCTAATGATGAGGGAATTACATAGGTACCAGAGTGCTCTACAAACTCATTACGAGTTAGGAGCTTTGCATTTAAGCTGAGCGGTAGATCTATTCATTCCCTAGAGTGCTCAAGCTTAGTAAACTAGGCGAGCATATTTATCCATAGACACAGTGTTTCGTCCTATTAGGACTCATCAGTATGGCTCAAATCACCAGGGTTGGTTTTTTTGCTGATGGCGGGTATCGATCCGGCAACCTTACGATTACTGGCTCGAAACCACGCCACTGAGCTACCAAGCCCCTAATGATGAGGGAATTATTATTATATATATATATTATATTATATATAACTTATTATATATAACTTTCCCGCATTTAAGTCATTATATTTCTGAATTTGCTGCATTGTAGAACAATTTGCCGTTTTAACAGAGATTTAGGAGTTCAAGGTCGTTGGTTTTTATCGAAAAAATGGTCAAACAAGTTTGAAAATATGCAGCCGTAGGTGTTCAATAAATTTGGGACGATGCTTCATATCAGGGGCTACATCACGTCTTCAACCCAGGGGGGGCAAGGGGGCGAAGCCCCCTGCGGGGTCCAGGGGCGGAGCCTCTGGTGGGGGGGTAGGGGGCGAAGCCCCCCCCCCCCCAATAGCAGGGGTCTAGGGGCGCAGCCCCCAGTGGGGTCAAGGGGCGGAGCCCCTTGTCGGGGTGATAGTGAGGCGAAGCCCCCCGGAAAATTTTTAAGGAAATTAGACAATTATGACGCATTTTCCAGTACTTGAGGGACACGAATTTACGTTAGCAGCAACTAAAAGAA